GTCTTGGGGGCGGGGCATCACTTGACATGCGTGAAAAGCTGGAATGCTCAAGTTCACACTAGTTCGCCGAGAAGCTGCATCATGATGCCCCCCCTAACTGGAATAGACCCTCCGTGAGATTGCAGTATATCCATAACAACCAGGCTTGTCTGATAAAGAGCAACAGTGTACAGGTGGGTTTTTTTGTTAGAGTTCTATGGGTCGAACGCAATGGAGGGTCTTCACGATTGCTGGAATACAATAGATAACAATGTTGGCAGTACGAGAGACACCATAACTTATGTGAACACTTAGAAAAGAGCAGAATGAAAACGCATCCTTCATCAACGGCTTAATACTCTTCAAATAGACATTAGTCATAGCATCGCTGCCGACCGCTATACACAGGACAATCGATATAGGACCGGCCTGGTCGCACAATTACTACACGCACTGGTCGTTCTTCGAGGAGACACGGCTGGTTGCACCGTGTCATTCGAGAAATGATTGGTTCAAAGCCAGTCGTCTTGCAGCCACTGTATGACTGGTGACTTCTCAAGAGAGTGGTTCTCAGTACAGCTATGGCTGTTCCAGAAAAGGATGCAATACAAGTGGGATGGGCACGCCGTATTTTTCGGACAAAGTAGGCAGCAAAATGTATGTAGTGGGACTGCTGCCCGCTACTATGGTGTCACGAAGAATTGAGGGAATTCGTGAGCCAAGGGGAGTGTAGCCAATTCAGGAAGGATGGGGGTGGGAGTGAGAGCAGTCACTTGATGAACAGTAGCCATATACCATCCTCTCCCCAGAGGACGCGTCCTCCGCCGTCACGCATACAACGCGCTAGGTCTGTCTGTCTGTCTGTGCGTCTGTTTGTCTGTCTGCCACGAAATTCAGTACTACATGAAGAACCACCTACAGAGTCCGGGTCAAGTTTGGGATGGGTGGGGCATGGGTCAAGAAGTACAAAACACACATCAGCTGGGTGGAGCTCCGCCCACAGTGAGCGAGCACGTCCAAATTTGGGTGGAGCCAACGGCAAAAGTTTCAAGTGCGGTTACAAAAATTCTCAAAGACCGAGAAAAATGGGTGGTAAAGGTGTGCTATGAGTTGATAAGTCAAGTTAGACCTAGCCGCAGTAGGCGTAGCGTTCTTTAAATGGGATTATTCTATTTTACCTTTCGTCGTGAAAGCGCTACACCTCGCTTCCCTGGCAGCCAAGTAACTGATTCGTGTGGTGCATATGCTTCCCGATGCGCTCCCTCTTTATCGTAATCGCTGCCTTTAAAGGCAAAGGTCGGGAGATGAGTTGTATACGAA